CAAGCCAGGTTCCATCGCCGTCCTTACGCGGCCGAGGCGGAGGGGGAAGGTGGCAATCTCGGGTGTGTAAATGAAGCTGAACCGAATCATGATACGAAGCAGCACCACATACAGGGCATTTAAGCGGCACGCTCACGATGGGATACGCAGCATGAGCAGAGCTGGCTCCACAAGTACCCGTGCGAAACGCGGCCTGAACACGACAGGTTGCCGACCTCCGAACAGCGAACGTCTGCAAACAGCACGGACATTCGTAGGTGGTCGCGCATTTCGGGATGGTCGAGGTCTTGCCGTGCGTGCCACCTTTAGTGAAGGCACTGTGCATCGTGAGGGCCTTGCGAAATCTGAATGCAGCGCCACACGAGGACCCATCTACGTGAAGACAGGCGCAATGTATGCCTGAGCTCAGCCGTGCCCCAGCCCTCCTCCTCGTCAGGGAACTCACCCCGGTCGATGATGGGCCCCATACCGCCCGACTGATAGAGCTTACGGAGGGCGCTAACGTCGGTGTTGAGAAACCTGCGCTTAACATACTCATCCTCGAACAGCTGTTGAAGAGACCCACCCCATATCTCCATCCAGTCCTTCACGTCGGTCAGTGCCGAAAGGCATGATACATCACATACAAGTCGTCGAGCGAAGGGGTTCGCGTCGTCCGTGAGCACACCAGGAGGAAAAGGAGGAGGAAAAGGAGGAGGAAAAGCAGGAGGAGGAGGAGGAGGAGGAGGGAGGACGGAGGAGGAGGCGGAGGAGGAGGCGGAGGAGGAGGAGAAGGAGGAGGATGACGGAGGAGGAGGAGATGGACGGAGGAAAGAGAGTAACAGGAAAAACATGTGGACGAGGAGCAGGAGGAGGAGGACGAGGAGTAGGAGGAAGAGGACGAGGACGAGGTGGAAGAGGAGGCTGATGATGATGAGGAGGAGGACGAGGAGGAGAACGAGGAGGAGGAAAGCGAGGAAGAGGAGGAGGAAGAGGAGGAAGAGGAGGAGGAGAAGGCGTGACGAGGAGGAGGAACGGGAGCAAGAGGGGGAGAAATTGTAAGAGGAGGACGAAAAAGAAAAGGAGAAGAGAGGGGGCGGAGGAAGTGGGAAGAGGAAGGGGAGGAGGAGAAGGAGGAAGGAGGAGGAGGAGGAGGAGGAGGAGGAGGACGAGGAGGAGGGGGAAAAGAAGGAACAGGAAAAGGAGGAGGAGGAGGAGAAGGAGAAAAAAGGGGACGAGGAAGAGGAGGAGGAGGAAGAGACTTTTTTTCTCGAAGGCCCCAGGGCAGGGGGAGGAGGCGCGGAGGCCGAGAAGGGAGCCACGGCTCGAGCGAGGAGGTCGGGCAGCCCCGGGGGCGGGCGAGGAGAAAGCGCGGGCCCCGCGCGCCCCCGCGCGGGCCCGATGCCGCCCGCCGCCCGACCGCGCGGGCCCCGCGCGTCGCGTCGGGCGACGGAGCCGCCGCGGCGCGGCGTTCGCCGATGGCGTCGGTCGTCGTCCGTCGATCGTCCCGGTCGATCGTGGGCGTCGTCGTCCGTGGTCGTATGAAGGCGCCCCAAGACACACAAATAAATACACACAAATAAAACAATTCCCCATCTTTTCCCATATTTTCTGGGTTTTTGTCTTCCCCACCACTTCCCATGTTTTTGCATATTTTCCTGGGAGTCGACGATTAATTGTGTCTGTGTGTTTCTTTCCCTCCTGAGCTAAGGTCGCCGCCGCAGGTCGTCGCCGCCGTCGCCGTCATGGTCGCTGTCGATCGTCGTGGTGTTCGTCGCGGTCGTCGCCGTGGCCGCAGTGGCCGCTGGCGAAGGGCAGAAGGTCATCACAACAGTTTCTTCGTCAACGCTTTCACCCTCAAGCGTTGATCGTTACCATCGCCAATCATCTGCTACAGCACCACCGTAGCAATCCCATCACCATTACCATCACCACCAGCACGAGCACCAACTCAAATTACCCATACTCCTCGCCATCACCACCACCGCCATCGTCAACATCATCACCATTGTAATGATCGTGGTCAAGCCCATCATCCCCAACATCAGCATCAACATCATCATCATCATCATCATCACGACCACCATCACCACCATCGCCATCATCATCATGGTCATCGTCGTCCGCATCGTCCGGCTCGTCGCGAGCCACGTCAAGATGACCATCCTGATCACCCCCTGCTCTTTGTGACCATCGTTCTGGTCATCGTCTTCACCGCCAACATCAAGACCAACATTCTCAACACCATCGACCTATCCTTCTCGGCACCGCCCCATTTTCCCCTCTTCCTCACCTGCCTTTCTTTTTCGTTTCTCCATCCAACCCATTCTTCCTCGAGGCTTCGGTCCTTGCCGGGAATTCGCGCGCGCTGGTATGTTCCACGCCCCCCTTGCGACCACGCGCTGGCTCAGGATGGAAGGGGGAAAAAGAGGAGGAGGAGGAGGCGGAATAATGATGCCGGGGTGGAGAACGGCAATGGAAGGAAGGAAAAGCGGAAAGGGCGGAAAACGATGGGCAGGGG